CACACACACACACACACACACGTACCATCCATCTTTCAGCTTTGCGGAGACAAGAGCATCATCAGTCATGAAGGACTGAAAGGAATCTGTAAATTCTGAATGAAGAGAGTCCTGCACGCACACACACACTCACACAGACAAGCACATGCACACAGACACACACTCACATCCACGCAGTCCCATCTTCATGTGGACTCTCTCGGCTCAGTCCTTGAGTCTGAGCTGCAGTGGCTCTTCAGTCGTCTAATCAAAACAAACAGACAGACACTCGCTCTCCTCTCTCTCCCGTGGTCAGACAGACCCGCGGCTCGGATTTTAAAGCACTCCGAAAAAAGCAGCCGCAGCTCTCGGTTCGCCTGGCCACCTCCAGCTCTCAGGAGACCCCCTGCCATTATACAGATAACACACACTGGTGCAACTAACTTTCTCCTCTCCCACCTGACTCCAGGTCTCTGTTTGCTCGCCACCACTGCAGGAAGGAGGGGACATTTTTTGCAGATGGCCAATTTAACGGTCGGTTGCCAGGAGCAGTGTTAGATCCTCTCACTGATGGGAGCCGCTCTCCACGGCGGGAGGGGGGAAGAGTTTCTTCTGCGCCGTCGCTCTGCCATCTTTCAATGTTTTATATACTTTAATAATTTAATGGCCAATTAGATGTGGAGGGAAAAAAAGGAGAAGGGGTGAGATTTAGAAAGAGAGACTGTGGTCAGGATGAGCCGGCTGTCAGAGCAGCTGAGGTTTGAGTCGTTATCACAAAGAATAATGTAGGAAGAGCTCAGGTTCACTTCCCGCAACAAGTCTCCTAGAGAAAGACAACGATGTCCTGACATCTCACCGCTACAGAGTCTGTGTTTTAAAAAGGTTTTCGAACGACGTTTTAAGACAAAGTGAACAGTGAAGTGGGAGGGCTGACGACATCTGCAAGTATTTTATAAGTTTCACATGCAGATAAATACAGGAACAATTGTCCTCCATCCTCTATTTTTGAAAATAAAAATCACTCTATCACTCTCACATGAACCCTGGAAGTCTAAAGTACTGCCCTCCACTTCACCTCCACCTTTCCGTGAGACTTTCCTTTCTTTTTCTCTTTCTCATGACAGTTATATCCACACGTGTACGAGACTCCAGACTGAAATCTGCACAGCTCTTGCCACCACTTCAAAAGTGCAGGTTTCTGTGGAGCTGCAGGTTATTTAAGTTCACACGTGGAGCATAATTTCTTCTCGAAGGCAAATCTCCGGTTCGTTAAGGCTCCAGGATTTGTGTCTGCGGTCGGGGGTCTCTAATCCCGACAGTCCCTGTAATCTTTTTACAGCTTCTCTCCTCTATTTTTCATTGCAGCCTTCGTGTTTTCCAGATCGTGAACATGATGTTTCAGTAGGTCTTTCCAACGCAGAGGGAGACACCAGCTAATGTTTTTTTTAAATCTTCTTGGCTATTCTTCTTGTTCCCCTGCAGTTAATGCTGCAGTTTGTCTCTAATGCTCAGACCCAGTGGGTTGAAATCATCTCTGCGGATTGTCACACGCGTCATCTTCTAATGTCTGATCATTCAGTCACGGCCACTTGACTGGAGCTTTAAAGCTCATCTAATAGCAAACCTTACGTGACCCGCTCCAGACCTAAACTGTGGCTGATGTCCTCCTCATGGAAACCGATCCTGTGCTGTGGCCAATCTTTGTCCCGACCACAAAGAACTTCAGCTGGCTCGGATTTAAGAAAAGCTCAGAGGCAAGTTGAGACAGATCTTTTTTCTTTTTCTATGGAAGGACATCTCTCAGACTTTGGGCCGACGTGATTCGACACCTCAACCCAGGACTTTAAGAATAACAGTCTAGTGTTCAGCTTTGACCACGATGTCTTCTGCAGTTGGTTCACTCGCTCTTTTCTTTACAAGTCTTGTCTTTCCTCCTCAAATCTCAGCAGAGTATATAACGTTTCTAGTCAAAGGTTCAGCATCAAACTCCCACTTAATTCTCTTACACATTTCTCTGGCAACATTACAGTTGAAGACACAAAATGAAGCCAAGACTTCGTAAGATACGAACCCTGTTTTTAGAATTACAACAAAACTTTCCAGAACATAGACATTAATAATTGTGATTAAAAAAAATACCTAAAAGGATAATTTTATGTGCTTTTAGATTAATTATGACCCATACTGTAGCCAGCCACCAGGGGGCAATTAATACACTGTGGCGTCTTTGGGTAGCTGACATGACTTCCCAGCTTTTTATACAATCTATGGTTTATCTCATGTCCCATCCGCTTCACCTATAGGAGGCGTCATGTCGTCCATCCTTATCTACAGTCTGTGTTTGTTCCCTAAAAGATTTCAACAGTGACCCATAAAGAAACGAGTGACGGTGACTAATGGAGGCTGTCGCAGGGACTCGGCTGCTGCCAGCAGACGCACCAAGAGATGGTGAAAATGTAAAATCTACACAGAAGACTGTGGAAGAGGCTGTTGACTCTAAGCCAAGAGGGGAAAACTGCAGCTTTGTTGGCTCTGACCAACGACCGAATCTTACACGGAGAATCAGCGATTATTCAAACAAAGCTGAGCAGGAATACGCATCCAGTGCATTGACTGATGTGCAGATGAGAGGACGGGCGAGTCTGGTGACAGCAAATATCCCCGGACATGGTGGAATTAGTGCAGGAGGAGGCGTGAGCTTGTTCGGATCACTTATTACTGCATCTCCCAACTTGTCAGTGTTGTAAGACATGATGTGTGTTCACGGATCAACTGTCTGACATGGAGCAGAATGTCAGGTGCACAGAACATGTTATTCTCCCTGTGGACGCTGCAGTGGTTTCATTTGTACACACCTCTCTTATCCTCTGCTCTGTCGGCCTCTCTCCTCATTTATTGTATTTGAACTTGTGCATTACGCCTCGCTTCATCGCTGTGTTTCACTTTTGGGGAGCGGTCATGTCAACATCTGGATGCTAATACACTGTTAGCATCCAAATGTTAGCATTTAACATGCTTGGTAAAATGATTGATCACAACAAAGTACAGTTTATGATAATGAGAATGTGATTTTGTCAATGTTTCACTCATTATGTCCTGAAAGGAAAGGTGAGAGGATTAAGTCTTTAAGATTCAATCCTCTGGAGATCACCAACATCTCGTCAGACCAGCAGACAGACATCTTCCCCCCCCACAGCCCTGAGACGAGCACAGCATTAAATATAAGAGGTGTATTCAGTACATAAAAATAACTTTGGTTTTAAATGTCTCCCACGTCTCGCTCTGTTCCAGATAACTTTTACGGCACCCCGAAGCCTCCGGCCGAGCCCAGCGCTCTGCTGCTCAATGTAACGGACCAGCTGCTGCCGGGCGCCAGACCCAGCTCCGAGGGCAAGAGGAAGCGGAACAAGTCGGTCAGCAACATGGAGAAAGCCAGCATCGAGCCCCCCGAGGAGGAGGAGGAGGAGAGACCAGTCGTCAACGGCAACGGCATCGCTCTCACCCCAGGTCAGCTCCCGACATTGACCTCCACGGGGGCACAGGTCCGCTGTCAGGACGTCCAGGTTTAGAGTCAGGGTCATAGCCCACGGCACCAGTCTCTTCTGGATCCGTCGCCTAGCAACAGAGAGAGTAACATTGATTTCACACACGTTTCCTGGAAAATAATTTTATGGCAGGTAATGACTTTTAATTGGTTACACGGATATCTGTATGTGCAGTGTAAATTATAATTCACTCTTCAGAGTCAGTGATTACCCCCGATCCAAACGGTTTATGATGAAAAAGCTTCAGCGCAGTCGCTCCTTTGGTATTTGATATCAGTCGCTGGGTATCATTATTAAACACAGATAGCCAGAGGGCTATAAACACATACAGCAGCAGCCTGCAGGCACTTTCAAAATCAGCTAACACCTTTTTGTGAAGTGTTTATTTTCCAAACCAGTGTTCCACTCCGTGTTCATTCTGAAAATAGGCAGAAGTGACATTAAACACGTAACGAGGCCAAACGTCTCGAGGTCGTACAACGGCAGCACTCGTCTGCTCGTTGTTTGTCCACATATGTCGGAACACACATACACATGCCCTCACACACAGAAACCCCTTTGAATGCATCCCATGATCACATGAAAGCAGAATAATAAAAGGGGCATTATGAGTTTGATTTTTGTGATTCCAAATCCAAAACCATGCTTTGGTCCTGTGACTTTCTAAGCTGGTTTTACAGCCCGGGGACAGTTGAGTCTCTCACAGCACGGCAACAGTCACAACACCAGGAAATTTCAAACCGTTCAGTTACTGATCCCAATCAGTGCCCGCAGTTACTTCTGCTTTAAACATCGCCAGGCTTTTTTTTTTAGGGACTGTGCCGTTTTGAGAACAGAGGTTTGGTAAAAGGATGAGATTCTGGTTTTCTTATCGCAAGGAGCTCAAACAAGGTAGGATCTATTTCAGATGACACATTACTTCTCTACAGAGGGGGTGAAAACGTGAATCTAAAGTGTAAATGCAAGTCTAAAATCTAACAGTAATGATGTCATTTACATGTGACAACAACTTCTGGTTTTCAAAGAGTCAAGAGATAATTTTTTATGTATGCCATAAATATTACAGTTAAAATAATAATGTAATGGTTATCATTTATATCATTATCATCTTTCTTTCTGTTCACAAAATGTTTTATGAGACAACAGTTATAAAAATACTAATTTAATCAGAGGAAATCAGATTTGAAAAGACGCCATAAATCATGAAAATGCAAGCAATAAATGCAATTAATAAAATTAGGTTTTAGGAAATTGTTTAACTTTTGCATTATTTTGACTATATTATTTAATAATAATAATAATAATAATAAATAATTGCAAGATCCATATTTTTGTGGCATTAAATAGTATTTTTCAGAGCAAATGAATATTCATTTTTTTAAACTTTTTTGAAACTTGTCTCTCCAAAAAGCAGAAATGATCATAGAATTAGGAAAAATCTTGAAGTCAGGTTCCTTTTTCAGAAGCGTTTAAAGACCTAAAGACAAAGACCACATCATTTTAATTCATTAAACTTGATTAATGAAGAACTACTGAGTGTGTATAAGGATTTTAGGGCAGTGCAGTGTTTTATGAAGGGTTAAAAGTTCTGTAAAGTATTCTGGAACCTCCCCCGTGTACTTTTATGATCGTCATCTGCACTGAATGACGCAGACGACCCTGACTGAACATTTTTAACTGATTCCTATCGGCGGCCTCCAGATGCTTGATAACTTTGGGCTCCGGGCAGCTCAGGAAACCATGTTGGGTGTTGGAGTGCTGCTCTGAGCTCGGGAGGGGCGAGTCGCGTCTCTGTGGATGGACGGTGTGTGTTTGCTGACCAGGAGGGTTGAACGGGAATCAATAGAGCACAGCGGGCTCTGTGATCTAAGCAGATAGCTGCTGCCTCACGCTCTCCCTCCCATAGATTATCTCTCAATGTCCAACTCTTATTTGTCCCCTCTCTACTTCCCTCCACCGACTCTCTCTCCTCTGGGATGTGCACACACTTGCCGTTTCTTTCTCTTTCCTCTAAACACCCAATTTTTCTCACCCTTTAACGCGTTCGCACTGCGCCACAACTCAAACTGGGGCATCGCATCCTGCTCCTCTCTCCGTCTCTGTTGTCTCCTCTTCTTTATTCTTCTGTCTGTCTTGTTAACCTCAATCATTCCCTTTCTTCCCGTAACCTCTCTCATCACCTTATTCCAAAAACTCTATTCTGTTTTTTAATCCTGCCTCCTCCCTAGCCCCGACTTTCAATCAATCTCTTCTCCCACTCTCCCTGCGTCCATTCCTCCTCTCCTCAGCTCCCCAGTTATTGACGGCCCTCAGCTTCCTCTCCTCCCTGAGTGATAATGACTCATCCTGCCCTGTTGTCACCTCAGAGTCCAGCGAGCATGAGGACAAGAGCACAGACGCTTCAGGGGACATCGCCCCGCAGAACAACCCAGCGGAGGCGTCCACCGAGCCGCCCAAAGACGACGGACAGTCGCCAAAGATAACAGTACCCAAGCTAGAGGAGAACGACGAGCTCGGGCCCCTGCCAGACAACTGGGAGATGGCGTACACAGAGAAAGGAGAAGTCTACTTCATAGAGTAAGTGAAAAGTTGTCATATGATGAATCTGTTAAAGTGATTCAACCATTTCTGCATCAGTTATATTATCACAACACTATAAACTCAAGGTTTGGTTAAGATGGGGTTGGGTGATAAAAGGTAGAGTTGGTCTCTACTTTCTGAATTTGCAGGTTGATGAAACACATGGAACTTTACATCTGCTCGATGTTTTTTTGCTTCTCACGTGGGAAGTTATATTTTATTAATAACATTCTTCTGTAATGTATTCATTGAACGCCTGAGTGACCAGATTTAAACCATTTAACATCTAAATACTCCTGTGTATATCTATGCTGACACACAGGGACCATTATTGATGCTCGGTGGTTTTCTGAGATTTTAAAGCCCCCAGAAATACCTTGTTCCACAGAACTGTGTTATACAAGTTGGATTCATTGACATTTTTAGCTTTTTACAGCTGCAGTAAAACCATTGAGGTGCGTGTTCATCACATGAGAGTTATTGAGTTTCCCTGTGTGAGTTTGTGAAGTGGTGCGGAGGGAACCGTATGTGCACGTATGTGGACACAGGCTCAATACCATCAACTAACGTAGCCATGAGAGGAAATTATCTTGCCATCGCGAAAGTTTTTTATTGCATCGTGTAATCGTTTTAGTCATTAGGCGAATTTTTCTTGAACCCCGGCACACTCGAATGAATCATAAACTGCCAGGAGCTGCACGGCAGCGGCAGACGAGGATGGTGTTGTCATGCCGCCAAACACATGTTGCCTCTTCATGTCTAGGCAGACTTTAAATCCCCCCCCCACCGCCGCAGACGAATCACCATATGTCTCCTCCCCTCAAACGCTGAACCTTCACGCTCCCTCATCCATCAAGCGGCGTATACGCAGCTAATGCAGTTAGCCCGCTGAATTTGCAGCTTCGAGATTCTTCTTCTTTCTGAGCTTAAGCGGTGCCGTGCCAAAGTGAATGCGGTTGCCAGGAGGATGCTTGTCTTTGATTGGCCTCCATACGAGATAGATTTGTTTACCTACGGCCCCTTGAAGTGAGGCGGCTGAGGAGAGGAATAGGAGGAAGGGAGTGGGAGGTGGGAGAGAAAGAAAAGTGATAGTGATTAAAAATAGTCAAGACCGAAATAAGAGAAGGTGAGAGGGGGGGACAAGAAAGAGGGAGACGTAGATTTAGATACTGTAAATATGGCGATAGAGGGAAGAAGAGTAGGAAAGGTAAAGATGGGAATGGATAAGAGGAGGGGAGGACGAGAAAAAGGAGAGAGCAGAACGAGAGGCTGTTGGAAAGCAGAGCCAAAGAGATTTGACCTTACCTTGAACTGCACTTTATTTGGCTCAGTATTTGGCGTGGGCCCTAATCTTTCACTTTTATCTACGTCTACTCTCTCAGTCTTTTTTCAGTCCTCTGTTTTTAGCTCCAGGGGAGGTAGAGTTGGATCGGCCACCAATCAAATCCTGACTAAAATATCTCAGCAGCGGACTGCCATAAAATTATTTTCCAAACATTATGGTCCCCGGAGGATGAATCCCAATGATTATGGTGTTTCCCCAATCCCCCTTTTCAACGCTCTTTCTCACACATTTCTCTTGTGTTGCTCTTGTATATAACTAAGTAGAAGTTTAGGAAAATACTACGTCAAATGATTCCAAGGGACGTATATGAGGGGGGGTCCCCGGGAATATTGTCTGTCTCGTCAGGTTCCTTGGCTGAAAAAAACTCTATAAAACTATTAAATTTAGGCACCGAAATTTTTTTTGAAGCATCAAAAGTATTGAAAAAGACGCTAATTACGTGTAATTGTTGTCCTTTCAGCTTGTTTTTCTGCCCCCTAGTGGCCATAACATAAATCAGTGCAGCTTCGACACGTGTGCGGTTTTGTTTTCAGCATAGCTGTAGTATTTCGATGTGTTCAGGGTCATCGGTGCATCCCTGTATCTTCTGTGTTTGAAGCCAAGTTGCATGAAAAGTTTTCTTCAGCAAAGCAAAGACCTCTTCACTGCATCCTCTTCCTCCTCTGACCTATTTTTTTTTTTTTTTTTTTTACTGCAAGTGTTTTGCACACCTCCCCTGCCCTCCCACTCCACTGTGTTGTGAGGACGGGAAGCCATTGTGGCTCCAGAGCTTCAGACGAGCTACACAGATACATCGAGTTTCTCTGGCACGTCCTCATATCTGATCTAGATCCAGCTCTCTGTCAGAGAGACTCTGGATGAATCTGCCAAACCCACAGCTGTTCCCCTCCATCACTGCCTCACTCCTCCCCCCTCCTCGCCCTCTCCGTCCCTTCCCCTCCCTTCTCCTCCACTCTGCCGCCTCTGCCTGCTAATGAGCGACAGTAAGCAAATTAAAAGTATTGATTGCCATTTTGTAAACCCAAAGCTTTTTTTTTTTTCTATCCCCACACCTTTTTTTTTTAAGAGGCAGACACACGAGGGAGTCTCATCTTTCCTCTCTGAAATCATCCTCCAGCTGAATTAAGAATCCACCAACCTCCTTCTCTCTTTCTGCCAAGTCTCCTCTCTCTTGCCATCTATCGCACTCTCTCTCTCACTCCGGCTCTGTCGTCTCTCCACAGCCACAACACCAAGACAACATCGTGGCTGGACCCGAGGCTCGCCAAGAAGGCAAAGCCGCCCGAGGAATGCAAAGAGGACGGTGAGTACCGCGTCTCTATCTTCTAGCACCTCTCTGCTCCTCGCGTTCACTCCTTTTGATTCCTCGAGCCTCCCGCAGATTCTATTCTACAAGATTTGAGGCTCGCCTGTTGGTCTAAAGGGAAGGAGACAGCGAAGCCGGTTTCATCCGAGACTTCAGCTCATCGAAGGGAAGGTTTAGTGCCAGTGTAGCGTTTCTGTTTATGAGGAGTTATGTGGTCGTGTCAACCAACGCCGGCCGCTGTGAGTAGTAAGTCCCATGATACGTGTTTAAAAGCACAGGTTCAGAGGCACTGGAAGTCACAAAGACTTCTTTATTCTCAACTGAGAGAGATGTGGACTGTCCTTCACCCGCCCACACACACACTCACACACACACACACACACACACACACACACACACACACACACACACTCACACACAAACGCACGCATAAGAGATAGAACAGGGATGAATGTTAATGTAGCGGCTGTACATGTACACATCGATCTGTTTGGGCCTCACCCTCCCTCCCAACTTTCTCATTCGTCTTTTCTTCACGTGTCAAAGCGAGACGAGGATTTATGGTCTGAGTTATAGACGGGGAGGTGGTGGAGATGAGGAGGAGATCTGGAGTTAGAGATGGACACTGACAACAGTTGAAAAATTACTTTTTAAGTCTGTGTATGTGGTTTATGTTCATGGTGGGATGGGGATATTTTTACCTCCGATATATATTATTATTATTTTCATTGTTGTTTGTATGTTTGCCTGTTAGCAAGATTACACACATCTTTTTCTTGAAATATGGCAGTAGGGTGGATTATGGGTTAAGGGAGACCTCATTAGTCGATTCGAGTAAAGGGACGGATCCAGGAACTTTTTTTCACATATCCACTAAATCAGGTAACAAATATTCCTCTCAGCTATGTTGGAGAATGGATATTTTTTCCTAAATTTGATAAAAGCAGTTTCTAGAAAACTTCTCTACGTGGCATCTGATTGCATGTATTTGCAATATGGTGATAAAGTGACCGATAAGCCTTGGTGGGGGGGGGCTGCTCTCTGAGTGCCCTTCTAGTTGCGTGTAGGGCAACAAGGATAGAGTTACTCTAAAAATACATCCAGTACTCAGACAGAGAGACGGTGCAGTCCTGGGCCAAACATCACACCTGCCTTGTTTTCCCGCTTCATGGGACTTGAAGGCTTTAACAAATATTGTTTCTATCATCTTTTATTTTCTATTCTTTTCTATTATCGTCTTGTTTGGTTTATAAAATGTGACAATAGTGAAAACGTCCGTCTCAAGTTCCCAGACTGAAACACGATCCTTTGAAACTGCTCATTCAGTCTGACCGGCAGTCCATCAGCTGTGAAATCAATATAAAACAAAGTCGCGTCTCCACTTTGGTTCAGGCTGAAATATCTCGTCAACTATCCGATAGTTTGTCATGAAATTTTGTGCAGATATTTGTGGTTCCCAGACGATGAATCCTCACAACTTTGCTGAAGCTCTGATTTACAACGTGTCCTTGAGGTTGTTGTTTGTTCTTTGATTAAAATATCTCAGCTGGTGAATAAGAGAGAGATCTGAGAGCATAACTATTTAATTTCAATTTGACAAAAGACCTGAAAAAAAACTAATATACTCAGTGGTAGTTAGTGAATTTAACCACGCTAACACACATTTCCTCATGTTGTAACAAACTGAAGCCAAAATATTTTGCATACAGACGCTGCCCTCAACCAACCAGAGCCTCTCTGTTCAGATTCTACATTTGTCTGTGTATGTGTGTGGGTTTTCTCTGGATTTCTTTCTCTTGGTTCTCCGGCTTCCCTCCGCAGTCCAAAGACCTAATTTTAGTTCAACTGGAGACACTAAATTCTAAATTGCCTGTAGGTGTGAATCTGAGCATGAATTATTGTTTGTGTTTATTCCCACGATACATTTGCGTCCTGTCCAGAGTGTAGCCCACGTCTCGCCCCATGTCAGCTATTCTTGGCTCTATCCCCCCACGACCATCGGAGGATAAGCGGTATAGCTGCTGGGAGGATTGAAATATTCTGATAGAGTGAGAAAGGGATCATTGGTTTCCGGTCTGAATGCATCTGCACTGGTGGCATTAAAAAACCAGGCCTGCGTCGTGTTAACACTTTGCTCATTTTATCCTTCAAACAGAATTACCGTCCTGATCTTGTATTTTGCTCACAAGACTCCCCGTGCAGGCGCTGAACGTCCCCTTTCCCCTTCAGTCTTTACATCAAAGGGAGAAAGATCTCCGAGATGATGAGATGACACAGAAACAAAGACGGAGACACTTGTGAGGAATTGTTCAAAATGTGATTGCACTTTTATCTCCGGCTCATTCGATCCCATTTATCTACTGAGGACGCTCCAGCAGAGGAGGGGCTCCGGTGGTTGTGTGGGACTGTTATCGATGTCGTTGGGTGACTCATCCACTTAGTTGGTCCCGTCTGAAGGGACCATGGTGCGATGGGGTGGCTGCTGCTTTGTGAAGAGGTAGAAAAACCAGTTCTATGGGCTGGTCATGTTGGGCCAAGTTTGTGTGAGTCAGACAACATTTACATTTCCTCCCATTGGAACAAAATTAAGCCAAAATCCACAACATTACCAATCATTAGTCCGATCCAGCTGTCAATCATGATGTTTCACCTCATGTCTATAGCATCCAATCCAGAACAAACACCTGGTTCATAACAATTTTCCAAATTGACAGAACTTATCTATAAGAAAACATTTTATAATGTGTACTTTGACGTGTCCCATCCACTAACACAGAGGAGACAGGCTTTATGACCCATACTGCAGCCAGCCACCAGGGAGCGACCAAGGCACTTTGGCTTCACACAGAGGAGCTGTCATGTCGTCCATCTTTACATCACACTGTATTCCAGCTTCTTTGGTTTGTCGAGTTTCTCAGGATGATCTTTTTCACTGCCGGGTCTTAAATATCAGGGGAAATAGTCAATATTAGTGCAGAGTCTGGTCTTTTCTTTTTAGCTCCCAGAAACTTTGCACTCTTTGAGAATGAAGGGGTTAGTGTAAGCAGCCAGAGGAGAGGTGTGTTGTTCACTTCAAACGTCTACAGCCTGGTGGCACCAGACGCCCCTGGGAGCTGAGCTCAGTTAGGGAGAGAAAAGCTGCCTCAGTAAATTCAGTATTGATTGGTTGAAAAAAAGGTGTGTGTTTTTATGTGTGTGTGTGTGTGTGAAAGTGTGTGTGTTTGTGTTCATTTTTGGACCTGCACCATGCTCTGATAAGCGCTAACAGGATCGCAGGGTGGGGTCTGCGAGCTGTGACGGAACAACAGGCTGAGAGGAGGAGGAGGAAGAAGAGGACAGCACTAAGTGGGAAACTCACACAGAAGAACAGATGTAGGGGAAGTGTTTGGATCCACAACGTCAACACAGTTCATATTATACTGGAAAACCTTTAAGGTTCTGATTTATTACAACTTGGGTCTGATGTTTGTTACTTTGGCAGCTCTACAGGTTTCAATCAGCTAATTGAGACTGAACAAGTGCTCAGATGATCAGAGAGGTTGTGAACAACGACTCATACTGATTACCTGACTTCTTTTTAACTGGAGGTAAAACCAGACTAGATAATTGGCTTTACCAATATATATTTTAAACATCTGATGGCATGTTTTGAATTTAAAATCTTAAAAAGTAAAGTTCTTTAATGTCAGAAGTAACTGGTAAACTCCTGCTTTGGTGTAACTAAAGGGGAGTAAAATGAAAAACAGCAGAGCCAACATACAGAATATTATAAACATGAAACGGTGTTAAAATGTTTACACCGCGGCTGAAGCTGAATTCTTTCTTGTGTTTAAAGTCGGTCGTGTACATGAAGGTGAAAAGCAGTTCTGTCAGAGAGATGTATGTTTGCTTTAACATGCTCGTTCCTGCTCCCGTGAAGACGGAGCAGCCGACTTCACAGACGCCTTGTCGTTACATAACTCGTATTTCTCACCTCCTCTCTCTACCTCCGTATCCATCTTTGTGCTTCCCTCCCTCCCTCCCTCCCTCCCGTCTTCCTGTCTCCTCTTTTTGTTTTGGCAGACGAAAAGAACGAGAACAGTCTCTCTACAGAACCTGGCTGTTGTTTCAAACACTCTCACCTTCTTAAAGTTTGTCGTTTTTTTTTCCCGTCCTGCCAAATGTTTGTCAGCAGGTAGCGAGAATGCCCCCCCCCCCCAACAAGCGGATTAAAAGCAGACAAAACAGCGAGATGTTGTTCGTCACTGTTTCAGATATTTCATCAGACAACAGTGTTTCCTATTCAGAGCAGCACATGCAACACACAGGATATGAATAAAGACAGATAGAGGAGGGAAAACTTTGAGAATGATGCTTCGCTTTGAAGGATCGTGATTATCATATATTATTGGACTTATGGTTGGTTTTTATGCCTCAATGCCAGGGATCGCCAGAGGAATTATGTCTGGGTGGTTTTCTGTGCCATTTGACAAAGGTTTAGATCACTGTGATTTTCACAAACACGTTTTTTGGACTTGTGAACGCAACATCTCATGAACGACTCGAGGGAATTTCTTCAGTATTGGTAGAAACTTGCACTCGGACTCAAAGATAAACTGATTTAACTTTGGTGGTTGAAGGTCAACCCCTTGTGAACAGGTTACCTTATGAACAACTTGAGAGAGTCCTGTCAGATTTTGCACAAACGTTCACTTTGACACACGGAATAAAGAGACAGAAGCTAAAACCAAGTGTTTCAGGCAGAGGCTGAGCAGAGGAGCTGCAGCAATGGACAGTCAGACAGAACATTAGAGCCCCTGAACCTTTTCAAGTGATAACACACACTAATGCTTTTAACCTGAGTATGACAATATGTCTCCTTAAACTTTTTGTCATCGTTCACAGGCACAACTCTCTTGAGGGAAAATATTTTGTTGTTTTTTTTACCCTCAGGGCGCCAGAAAAAATAAATTGAAAAGAAAGAGAAATGTCAGGTCGGCTGTTCGCTCTGTTTTCCT